GCTTTATACCAAGATCACTTGGGAGGCTATGACCGAGAAGTGGCGAAAACGCTTCATCATCGACGACGCTCAGGGGAAAGGCGTGAACCGGATCTTCAACATGCATCAAGGCAGCCAGCCAATAGGCGAATGGTGCTGAGTGGCAGAAAATCGTGACGATTCGGAATTTGAACATCCCATTCATACATCTTCGTCGCGAATTCTTCCAGCGGTCAGTTGACGTGTTGAGCACGGCCCTTGGGAAGCACAGCCTGTACACGGTGCAGGGCCTGTCTCTTATACACATCTAGATGTGTATAAGAGACAGCTCTCTCTCTCTCTCTCTCTCTCTCTCTCTCTCTCTCTCTCTCTCGTCTCCACTACCCAAAGACCACCGCCGCAGCCCGCTGACCTTCTTCAAAGCCAGGCCCGGCTACGGCACTGCCTCACTTCAGCACCCTTCTCTTCCCGATGCCCGTGCGCACCCAGGCACCTGCGCTAACGCACAGCAAGCAGCTGTGAGCGTTCCCTCCAGCAGCACTGCCGCTTGCACTTACGAGTGGCCGAATGAATGAATGGCAGGTGGGCACTTCCTATATGGAAAGTGGTTCCCTGCGTAGGCTGCCTGGGCCTGTCTACGGTGCGCCCAGTAGCTTCACTTTTGGCCAAAGTGTATTAGTTGGGTGTGCCCAACCACACAGGCACAAACGTGCGGTGTTCCCCGCGCTGCTGGAAGAGCCCAAGGATATTTCTGTATTAGTTGGATGTGACCACCTGGCGCATGGTGACTGTCTGGCACCCACCAAAGCTTTTGCAAAATTGACGAACTCAGGACTAAGGGACCCTCACGGGGATGCCGAGGGTGTGAATCCCCGCACATCATATGCTACAATACATTATTATGACATTGTATACAAGGCTTCAGCACGGCATACCCTATTTCTCGGAGATTTGATGGGTCCAGAAATTTCAGGACCTGTCCCGATGTCGAGACCTTCCAGAACCTCCCTTGTCTGGAGGTCTGGATATGTGCGGAAGTCCGGACGTCCGGACCCGTCTGGACATGTGTCCGGTCCCTGGACATGTGCTGGGCGGGTCGGGGTCAGGCATTGCCATGTTTGTTTGATTCCAATGATTTTCATGCAGCTAGCTTTTTAGTGAGTCAACTCTTGTGCTCCTTCTGCAAGTTGCCAACCTGCATAAGTTCAAAGCAGTGCTCGTCAATAGTTAATGACATGGATGCAAAATGATTGATGTTTTTGTCTTTTTTTGCAGACTCGAGCTGTGAGGTTGATTCCCGGTAAGAATGCTCATCGCTCATGTGGAATCGATGGAGAACTGATGCCACTGGACGAGCCTATACTGACAGCTGTATTGCCATCTCAATGCCGGCTCATTGGGCGTCCTTCCCCTCATTGTTGACGCTGGAACTGCCATGAGTTGCTAGAGCTTGGGAAACCAATTTCATTTGGAGTATGGTGCTATGACTAGTGTGCCTTGTAAAGTCGATAAATGCTGTTGTGCTCCGAGCCTCTGTGTTGCTGGAGCTGTTGGGCAAACAACATGCGTTCAATTAGATGGAAGGTAGGTGGAAAATGTGAAGGACAGCCAGTAACAGGGCGATGGAGTTCGGGAGCTAACAATTGCCAGGAAAAAATGCTTGATCAAAGTCGGACATGATATCGAGGTTGGCGGAACTAGCTTCAGAAACAACAAAACTAACTCAAGGGTGGTACCTGTCATGCCAGGATTTCCCGGCCAATTTTTACAGGGTACATAATTTCATTAAAATTTAAAACACGAATGGAATCAAGAGTTCCATGGAGGTGCAAGCCTCCTGTTGCTCGGTCTGTTATCTCATGGTGTCCATGTCTTGATTCCATCGGATTTGATTGGGTGCGTAGTCTGCAGAATTTGTTCGCTTGTAGCAATTCACATAGTGTGAGAGGCCCTTGGCAGAGGGTGGTACAAGGACGTGCTACGACACCGCCACCGCCAGGTCCAGTGTCGTCATCTTGTTCAGAGAGAATCAATCAGGCTATCTCCCTCGAGTGTTTAAGTCTGATCAAAGTTATGCGGTTGAGTAGAATAGTGAGAGAGAGGAGCGTAATGGGGAACATCATTTCTAGACTCCTCTTGTGAAGAAAAAAAAAAAACAGCAGATCATAACACACACGTCTTGGATGGTAGCCTTTCTGTCCCTGAGGGACAGCGAAGCGGCAGACGGGCACGCTCGTGCACACATACAGATAAGGACATCGTCTGTAGGGGGGTGACCTTGCAGCTGGAGTTCCTTGACAGAGAGCCTTATGTAGTGTGTTCTTGGGCTTGCTGTTGCACATCATCCTGTGAGGGAGGAAGGGGGAATGGGCAGATGCACATCCTGCCTCATCTCATCTTGCGATAGACATGGGAAGGGCTGATAACAGCAGCAGGCCACCCAGGCAGCAAGATATCTTGATAAGCAAACAGCCAATGCGGTTAGCCAATTTTCCACCCAGTAACACCTTCGTGCATGCGTACGTGCATCCATCGCAACTACCGCTTTGTCACTAGTGAACATCGCGGCCTGGAGTGTAGAAATGTGATGCTCAGTAAAGGGCAAGGGCTAGTTGACTCAGGGTAGTGTTTACTGATGATCTTACCCTCATTTGTTTGATTTTGTAAATGTAATATGTATGCTTCATAAGAAAGCAGGTCATAGTGCTTGCTAGTTAGGTGAAGGGATGATCATCCATCCATCAATACTGGCTGGAGTGGGTGAAGAGTTATGCATCCACCAATATTGGAGAATGGGGAGTGGGTGAAGTTGGCATCTGTGTTTTATCGTGACGAGGGCTTTACTTACTCGTGTTCCAAAATAGAGAAGTCTGGAAGAGCTGTATGCTTGCTACCGAGTCCGCCGGTGGAAGACGTTAGTAATCGCGTACCGTGCGGTGTATGGTGGTGGTGATCATCTCAGTGTGAAAATCAGTGTCAAAGGTTGAACCACATTTTCTACGGTGATTGGAAATGTGGGCAAATGGTGGAACTGAAACGGTGACAAGTTGATAACGTGATTTAAGCATGGAGATAGTGAGAGAGTTACATGGATAAATGATGGCAAATAGGCTGGGGAAAGGACAACCCAGCTGTGCAGCATGTGTACAGGGAGAGGCGGCACATTGCAGGAATCTCAGCAAAGATGACTAGAGTACTAATCACAGCAGCTTGGTATCTCCGTGCTTGTGGTTGTTTATTTGCTGGCAGTGTGGGACACGAGCTCCATGCTCTCACTAACAAAACCACTCTCGAGTCCATGATCTTTGAGTAACCATCATAACAACAGCTATAGATATGGGCTGACATTTCTGGCTAAGTTTAGCAAGGGAGGGGGTGAGAAAGGGGGTTCGGGGGAGGGGGGAAGGGATGACGACTGAGACATGTTACGTATTAAATCCGTGTTCGGCACAGTGTGATGACAAGCAGAGGTCAGAGTCGACCCCTCTCCGATCTGAGTATTCTGACTAGATTTGTTTTGCCCCCTTCTGTTCGGTTTCGCTCGTCACCAAGGTTAGTTCAGACTTCATGAATCGGCAAGCGTGGCACAGACAGTGGTTTGAACTGAACTGATGCTGAAGTGCAAAGGAGCGTGGTTCACATCCTTTTCTTTCTGACTGTTTATTACTCTTGTTTCTTTATTCGCAAAGGTTAGGTTTCCAACCAAGCATCAACTTGTTCATATGAGTGCTCTATATAAATTTCAATTCTTTTTCATTAAACTGCGGATCTGGACAGAAGTATGCCAGCTGATGTGGTCGCTTGAGCGGGAGCTTCAGCATCCATTATTTTCTGCATATGCACGGAACTCTGTTGTGTAGCTTCTTTGGGGGAATCATTTTTTCATGGGAAAGCAGTTAAGGCAGATATTAAGACAACATCCAATTGGTGCAGTCTGCCATGTGAGTGATGCATGGTGGTGGTGAGTGCAAAAAAAATGCATCATACATTTGAGCTGCAAAAATGTGTCATACATTTAAACTGCATGGACAGATGCAAGAACAAACTGGCATAAAATAGAACCACAAACTTGCAAGTTTTGAAAACTTGAATTCCAGCTGCATTGAGTTTGCCAAATGTGTTTTGCAGAGTTGTGTCGCCTGTGTGTTCTATGTCAGGTTCTGTACAACTCTGATACTTTTTTTTTTTCCCTTAACTCCGAAATGTTGGGTATGCCCCACCGATATTGTTGTACAACAAATGTTTAATATATATGTCGAATTGACGTCTATGGACCATCGCACTCGTATAATACAGCACTTCCTCTCTGCCTGAGCTTCACTGAACAGTCTTTTGTGAATGAATAAGAGGAAGAAAGGAAAACGAGAGCAATGGGTACTGTGACAGGCTATTTTGTCAGACTCCGACTGGCAGTATCGAGTGCCAGGAAAGATCTGTCAAAGAACCCCATTTGACTCTCTCTCTCTCTCTCTCTCTCTCTCTCTCTCTCTCTCTCTCTCTCTTGCGCTCTCTCTCTCTCTTGCTCTCTCTCTCTCTCTCTCTCTCTCTCTCTCTCTCTC